AAAAAATCCTCAACAAAAAAAAACTATGAAAAGCTAAAGGAAGAAATGGAAAATACACAAAAAGGTGGAAGGACATCTTATTTTCCTTGGATTGGAAAACTAATATTCTCAAAATACCAATTCTACCCAAATTAATCTACATATTTAATACAATCCTGATCAAACTACCAGAGCTATTCTTTTTTTTTCATTTATTTTTGCTTTTAAACAAAACAAAACAAAATTTTCGAAACAACAAAACAAAACAAAAACTAGTACTGATCACTTTTCTGACAATATACAATTATGCAAAATTAACTAGTATCAGAAGGGGGGGGTGTCATACCTATGGGTCTTGTCTCCCATGAGTGTATGTGGGTAGGTGCAGGGCATTTGTCATTATTGCAAAAACTAATTTTAATTTTTAATCTTTAGTTTGATTTAAACATTGCTTTTAGTATGATGCCGACACCAGCTGTGCAAAAGGACTCTGGAGAGATGCTCATAGCAGCATACACCTGTGACTCTTCTTGGGTTCTGGAGGCTCCACGGCAGCCAGTATTGCTTCATCAAATACATTCTTTAGGCCTTTCTGTGTGAGTGCAGAACACTCCACATACTTGACAGCCCTCAGGTCATGGGCCAGCTTTTCAGCAGTCTCTGGAGTGATAGGCTTCTGTTTGTTCTTGCCAAATCTCCCAATAGTAGAAGGGTCATTGCTGAGATCATTTTGGGTCCCAATAAGCAAGAAAGGAGTCTTTGAACAGTGATGAGTTATCTCAGGCACCCACTTTCTTTTCACATTTTCAAATGAGGATGGAGAGATCACTGAAAAGCAAACTAGAAATACATCTGTTTGTGGATAACTCAGTGGTTGTAATCTGTCATAATCCTCTTGCCCTGCAGTATCAAAAAGCCCAAGAGTATACAGTCTCCAGCAATCATAACTAACTGCATAGTTGTCAAAAACAGCTGGTACATACTCAGATGGAAATTTGTTTGTTGTGTAGGATATCAGGAGACATGTTTTACCAACAGCACCATCGCCCACAACAACACACTTAATTGTCTACATTGCTGAAATAGTTTCAATATTTCCAATTTGATGCTGACCTCAGCTCCTCCACCCAGGCATTGGCAGCACTGCACGGAGTCTCCTAGGCTCCTAGAGCTATTCTTCACAAAATTAGAAAAAAACTATCATAGAGTTTGACTGGAATCATAAAGACCACATATTGCCAAAGCAATACTGTGCAAAAAGAGGAAAGTAAAAGACCTCTCATTCCCTGATCCCAAAACAAAACTGTAATAATTGAAACAGCATGATGCTGGCACAAAATAGACCAATAGAACAGAATAGAGACCCCAGAAATAAACCCCAACTCATATAGTCAACTAATTTTTGACAAAGGGCACCAGACAATCCAGTAGGGAAAAGAAGATCTCTTCAGCAAGTGGTGCTAGAACAACTGGTATCCACCTGCAGAAAAGTGAAACTGGACTCCTTTCTCTCACCATTAACAAAAATCAACTCAAAATGGATCAAAGATTTAAACAGAAAACTTTAAACAATAAACTACTGGTGGAAAACACAGAGGAAACTCTTGGAGATGTCCATGTTGGCAAAGACCTTTTAAATAAGACCCCCAAAGCAAAGGCAATAATCTCCAAAATAGACAAGCTTTTTAACATTTGATTAAAAAGCTTCTATATGACAAAAGAAACTAGAATTAGAGTGAAAAGACAACCCTCAATACACGAGAATATATTTGTAAACTATGCCTCAGATAAGGGACTGATAACCAAATATACAGGGAACTCAAGCAACTTACCACACACACACACACACACACACACACACACACAAACTGATCCAATTAAAAGATGGGCAAATAAGCTGACAGACAACTCTCCAAGGAAGATAATTAGTCAAAAAGCATATGAAAAAATGCTCAACAAACCTTATCAGAAGGGAGATACAAATCAAAACCACAATGACCTACCAGCTAACCCCAATCAAAAGGGGTGATTTAAAAAATAAGAATGATAAGTGCTGGTGAGACTGGTGGAAAGGGAACTCTCCTACACTGTTGGTGGGGAAATAAATTAGTACAACCACTATGGAGAACAATTTAGATATTCCACAAAGACCTACAAATAGAGCTACCATATGATCCAGCATTTCCATTCCTGGGTATTTACCCAAAGGATAGGAATACACTCATTTAGAATGACACTTGTACATCCATGTTTATTGCAGCATTATTCACAATTGCTAAAACATAGAACCCAAACCCAAATTTCCAAGGACAGATGAATAGATTGAAAAACTGTGGCACATATACACTATGGGATACTATTCAGCCATAAAAAAGAAAAGGATCTTTGCATTTGATAGAAAGTGGACAAATATGGAAAATTTAAAGCTGTGTGAAGCAAGCCAGACCATGAAAGAGATGTTTTTTTTGTCCCCACTTAATATATACCAAATGTCTGCACTCTGTAGCAGAAACTGAAATATTGGAAGGTATAAAAGCAGGGACAGGATCGGCAGGTGGTATGGCGGTTAAGGGCGCTGGACTTCCACATGGCTGACCACGGTTTGAGCTCTGGACCTGGTGGCTTGCCTGCTCTCCCCCACCCCCTTTATGGTCACATTAAAATAAATAAATAAATAAATGTTAATAAAATAATTATTCAAGGAAAAAAAGCAAAGACAGCAACTGTACATACAAGAGACCATTTGGGTAGAGGGCAGGACATGGGTTGGGGTGTGATAGGGAATCAAGGGAGAGGGGGAAAAAGGAGGAAAACATTCAACAGATAAAAAATGGAAAATTGTCTGTTGATGACCACGTATATGGTAATAACTTTGACTGGACTAACAGTATTCATACTGGGAAAATTCATTTTCAATGTTGTAAAGATATACAGTGACTTGAGACCAGCAGTTGGTGTAATGTCTATGTCGCTGGACTCCCATGTAGCCGACTGCAGTTTGAGTCCCGGACCTGGTGGCTTAAACTCATGCCAGGAGCATGTGCATGTCCAAGATCCCAAGAGGAGAATGGAGGAGAAGGGATTGCGGCATGGCCATCCCCCCTGGGGGTAATTTCTCGCTTTCTGTCTGTCTCGCTCTGTCTTTCTGGCAAGCACATGCGCCCTATAGCAAAAGCCTCTTAAAGAAAAAATAAAAAAGATATACAGTGACTTAATGTAAAAAATAAGGAAAAAACAAATAAGAAAAAAGAATGTATTGTCTTGCAATTCTGATGCTGTTATTACTAAGAAAAAGACAAAGGAATAGTGGATCATTTAAACAGTCGAGTGAAAAAGTCATTGATGGGTGACTAAAAGTTTTTTTTGTGCTTTCTATAATAAAAATGTATGTCCTTGGGGAAAAAAATAATATGTTGCCCACAGTAGGAATGTTTGATTTCTTCTTATTTTGAAATGACATCTGATAATTCTGCCTTCAGCCTTTAAACTGAAATATAGACATGAGCATCCTGTAGACCTCACTGGGGAACATATGCTGGATTTCTTGCTTTCAGATCTGGTGAAGGAACTTCAGTATTTTCTCTTTTAAACGTATTGCTTGTATTAGTGGGAGTCCAGCAACTTAACCATCGTTCCACCTGCTGACTCCCCACATGTATGACTGCAGTTCAAGTCCTGGACTTGGCAACTTGCTTTCTCATTTTCCTTCTCTCTCTCTCTCTGCCTCTCACTGATGAGTGTGTATGTCCCAGAGAAAATTTAATAATGATAATAATAACACATAAATACATAATTCTTCAAAAAATAATGTATTACTTGACTGACATCTAAATTTCTAATTCTCAATCTCTTTCCATGGACTTCATTATAATTCACATTTAATAATACAAAACTAAAAACTAGGCTGGCAGGTGGTGTGGTGGTTAAAGGTGCTGGACTCCCACATGACCAACTGCAGTTTGAATCCTGGACCCAGTGACTTGCTTTCTTACTTTCTATCTCTCTCTGGTCAAATTAAAAATAATAATAATAATAATAAAGTAATAATTTTTTAAAAAGATAAATACTACAAAACTAAAAATCCACGTACCTACTTTACTTTTAAAATAGTATTATTTATTACTATTTATACATTCAATCGTTATAAATAACTTAGTTTGTAAAGAGATTTTACCCAACATCATATATGCCACACAACAGATGAATTGAGACTACTATATACTACATCACCCAACAGGCAACAAACCATGTCTGTTTCCCACAAATGTTTTACTTGTCCATTTTTTTCTCCAAATTTAGCTTCCTACACTCTTCCCCTCTCCCACTCTCCTTCCACTCTGTCCCCAGTGTCCATAACAATTTCCAATGCTTTTATGTCCTCCAGTCTTTCAGTCTCTACCATAGAATGTAGACATTCGGTATATGTTAAATGGAGACATACAATGTCTCTGTTTCAAAGCCTGACTTGCTTCACTCAGCAACAGATCTTCCATGTTTGTCCACTTTCTATCAAATGCCAGGATCTTGTTGTTTTATGGCTGTATAGTATTCCATGGAGTATATGTGCCACACTTTTTCAATGCATTCATCTCTTTGTGGACATTTGGGTTGGTTCCATGTCTTAGCAATCTTGAATAATGCCAGAATAAATATAATTGTGCAAGTGCTTTTCCAACTGAGCATTCTCCTGTCCTTTGGGTAGATACCCAGGAGCGAAATTGCTGGATCATATAGTAGTTCTATTTGAAAGTCTTTAAGGAACCTCCATATTGTTCTCCATAGTGGCTGGACCAATTTGCATTCCCACCAACAATGTAGGAGAATTCTCCTTTTACCACATCACCACCAGCACTTAACCATTTTTTCTTTTTTTAATCTTCACCATTCTGACTGGGCTTAGGTGGTATCTCATTGTGGGTTTGATCTGCATCTCCCTTATGATGAGGGATATTGAGCATTTTTTCATATCTTTTTGACCGTTTATATGTTTTAGAGAGTTGCTTATATGTTTCTACAAACAGGGTATCAGCTCTGCAAATCAGATGTAATTTTCCATTTGGAACAAGATAAAATGCTGTGGATGGTGAAAGAAAGAGCATTTTTCCAAGGCTGGAGTCCAGGTAAGCATCAAATATATAGGCAGATTTTTAGTGAATGATGGTTTGGATTCATTAACTGAAGCTTTTATTGTGTGAAGTGTCTTTTGTAAAAATAGTAGAGGACACTGGAACAAAATTTCTGAGAAATTGTTCATTTCATATATCCATCATAATGTATATGTCCTCTTGCCTTAATTTTTTAATAAAATAGGATATTAATGTATTATTATACTTAAATTTTTACATAATGACTATTGTCCTGATTCCCCATAATGATTTTCCCTCTCTCTACTTATCTATTCTCACTTCTTCTATTATAGTCCTGAAAATCCT